CTTAAAGTTTTTCCGGTGGTTTTATTTTTTGTTTACTATATTTTACTGCCAACCAACCATTGGTGATTAAATTATCAACATTACAATATAATGCAATTTAAATATTAAATGGAATCATTATATATTATATTTGTTAAATATATCAAACAGAATTTGATATATTGCATGTAAAATTTTTAATATCTCACTATAAAAACTCACGTCCTTCATGGTAATTTTAACATCTAAAATTAATATTTAACTAAATCATCCAAACAGTTTAATTCTATCACAACCAAATTTAGAGAAATAACATTCAAACATGATCACGTTATAGCACAATTAATTATAATTAAAATTAATTACATTAATTATTTTTTTATAATTAATTATATCCCATTGAAACTCATACACACCCAAAAAGTATGGGTTGAGGGGGACTTGCTCAGCACCAAAACACTGCCATTTGGTAGTGCTTTTTTTTTCTTTTACTTTTTTAAACCACCAAATTTCTATTAATAATAAAAATATTATAAAATTATTATTTTAACATTTAATAAACTAATAAATATTAAGATGTTTAAATTGAACTTGAATAGTTTGTGAATAAAAATTTTGGTGAGCATTGATAACTGTACTGAAAAAAATAAAAATAATTTGAACAATTTAAAATAGGAGTTGAATCTAGCAAAATGAGCTAATTTCTTATACTGTAATAAATAATATTTGAATTCATATTAACGAGAAGTACCTATATTTAATATCTGACTATGCTTTAAATGAGATTATTCTTGTAAATAAACAACTATGCAAAAATTAATAAAATAAAAAAAAAATTTATTTACAATTTTAATATTTTCAATACAGTTTTGAACTGTTTCAGATCAAAATTTGCATATGAAACTGTTTTAGGTCATCTTTTAATCAGTTAATCTGTTTCATATTTAATCTTAACATCTTAATATTTATTTATTTATTAAATATTAAATAATAATTTTATGATATTTATTTATTATTATAATAATTTGTAGTTTAAAAAGGTCAAAAAAAAATACTGTCAAACACAGTGTTTTGGTGCAGAGCACCATGGCGCTCATCCGCCGAAAACCGATTCCGGGTTGAGGAGGACAAGTGGACCCAACGCAGGAAGGTCTCCGTTCCAAGTGCTCAACTATTTTCTGGACCTAAATTATATTAATTCATTTGTTTTTTAATGTTTTAAATTATTTTAATCGAAAAAAGGGAGAATAATGTGTGTGTTGTCATTTTCCTAATTTCAACTATTAATGGATCTAGAAATAATTAATTTTTTTGATTAGGACTTGTGTGTAATTTTTTTTTAAATTTCAAACTTGAATTTGATTATTTTAAAAGGTAAAGTAGTAAATTTAGCCAAAAACTATTTTTTTAAGAGCAAACTATCAAATGGTGTAAAATAAATCACAACTTTTAAAAATGAAGCATCTAGTAGCTCGTTGTTAACTTTAGTCAACATAAGTTATGTAAAGCCCATAATGACACTTGATGATACCAACATGGGTATGACATATCAATATGAAAAATTGCGAATTTAGCCACGAACTATTTTTGAGAAGCGCTGGGTAGCCTCTATTATAAAAAAATAGATCATCCCAATGCCTTCCCCTCAAGTTTACCAAACACCATTAATTTCATACTTATAAAGCCCATAAAGCATTAATCTTTTCAATCTTCTTGCCTTCATTCTCAATATAAGCTTTAAAAGAAGAGGTTCATGAGTTCTTATCTGAAAACATTTGCAAGGATGATGTCGGTGATGAAATAGAAGCTTGATTTTACGACGCATAAGAAAAGTTTGATTTTAACTTAATTTAGTCCAAATTATTTCTTTTTCTTTATTAACGTTGTCTTCGTAAATATCCTCATATAAGAAACTCTTTTCAACCTTCTTCTCTAGTCGAGATTGAGAATGAAAGCAAGAAGAT